AGTAGTTTGTATTATACTACATACATACATATGTATGGGGACTAAACCATTGCCCCTTACACATTGAAAAAAGATAATAAAAGCTCTCAAAAAAGCAAAATTGCTACAGCGATAAAAGGGTTTGAAAACCCGCATATATTCAAATCCGCATATAATGATACCTTAGTGTATAAGTTGAAATTTTATAACAAATTATTGAACATTAAAAAAATTATTCCTAAATAGGTATGTATGCACATATGTGCCTACCTAGTAGATAAAACTGGTCAAAATAGCATGCATCTATTCTTCTGTGCATGAAAATATATACATAAATACATACATATGTGTATTTATGTATGTATATACATATCAGCATGTGTGTACAATCCTTTACTCGAAATTCTTAGTTAATGCAATTTTTATCCCATACATTTTTGCTGACCAAACAACCCGTTTGCCTGTCTAATCTGCTTGCCTCATTTGCCTCGCTCGTTTACACGCCTCATTTGCTTCGCTCGTTTACTCGTCTCGGTCGTCTGCTGCTGCAAATGAGTGCCTCGTTCGTTTACTCGCCTCGCTCGTCTGCTGCTGCAAAAGAGTGCCTCGCTCGCAACGACGTCCTTGCGAGGGCAGAGCTAATGAGGCCCTCGTTTGCTTGCCGCTCTACTCTTGCGCTGCCCTCGTTTGCTTACTCGCTCGCTGGCTGCTCAGCGCGGGCGCTCGTTCTTAACGAGTGCTCGTTTGCAAACAGCCTCGCTTGTTGCTCGTGAGTTGCGCAAATTCAGAGTAAACTAACGAGCGAGCGAGGGGCTAAAATGAGGCAAATCCGAACCCTGGCTGCAGGGTTTCCCCATATGTTAATTTATGGAAATAAAGATAGTATCGTTAAATATGAAATATTTAAGTAAATATGTATATATAACAACAAAAGGTCTCTTCAGCTTCAACAAAAGCTCACTAACACACCAAACTTATAGTTAGGATCTTCTTTCTACTCCAATTTTAAATTTGCAATGCACCTTGTGCTTACAATTTAATCAAAAAGCTCAGGAATTGCAAAAAAAATATTCTTCGAATAAACTAAAGTATTGGAAACTATTATGATTTATCGAAACTTTAGTTTCCTGTGTATATGCATATGGGTGTATATGGTACGAGAGGTTGGTGTGAAAACGGTTGGCGGTTTTCGTGAGTATCCATGACTAGTAGCGTAAGTACAATTGTTTGGGTCCAATGTCTGTGTCGCTACCTTCCCCCATCATCTTTCCAGCTCGCCTCAGTAGAGAAAAGGCCTGAACCTTCATCCCTGGAAGCGTTGGCGGTTACTTTAAACTACCCCACACCCCCTTACAAGTACATGGTGGTCACACAGCAGGTCTGTAGAAGCCATGTCTTCCAATGCAATTAAAAATATCGAAAACAAACTAACAAAACTAAAATTATCACCACGATCTGATCACCAGGAGTCTCTTTAACTACTCGTTAGGAGTTCATCAAGGCGCGCCTTGATGCCAAACGCGCAGTACCCCCCATTGCTGTATCACATTTGCGGTTGACCTAAGTCATAGCTAAGCTGGTATTAGGAAACCTAATCAGTCCGAAGTAGAAGGAAACGAGGGAAATGAAAAAGAATTGCATGTGATAAATAAAGTTTAAAGGGCAGGAAAGCTCTTGAAAGGGAAAGATGTAGTGAAAAAACGAGTATTCGAAGATACGATTGGGTTATAAAAAAAACCCCGTTGGGCGCCCTTTGTTATGTCTGCTTGGTCTGGAAGGAAGTCGTGGCGGGACAGGCATGGTGGTAGCCGGGCTTGAGCTCGTCGGTCTATGGCGTGGTTCTTGCCACCACTCCCAACCTACAGCCATCAACAAAACTTTCATGCCTTGAAACCGTGGACATGAAAGGGGGAGAGGATAGAATACAAAGCGGTAGAAAACAGTCCGGTCAGGGGAACTATCCCGCCCCGTCTGTTTTTATAGCACAAACAGCCTTGGACACCTCTGTGGCTCCGTACGCGAGAGTGGAGTCCCCTATCCTGAGTTGGTCCGCCAGTCAAATAGTCTCGTCGTCATTGCGTTACAATAGTCACAGTTACGAACCCATCCCTAGCCAAGTTGCCCCGAGGGCGACACCCATACCGACCACAAGAAAACTAATGCCTCATATTACTATCTGCCATATCTCAACCAAAAACTAAATAAATGAATCCTATAAACATAGGTTATATTTATCTTCTTCTTTATCCTTTATTTAGTGAACTACCATGCATAATTCCTCACACACCCGCAGCCGCGCGATCACGTTGGGCAAACACAACCAGCGAAAGCGTGTGAATTGCAAGGTAGATATGCGCATCTGATCAATTGGGAAATACAAAAGCATGAGAACTGCAACATAAGCAGAATTGGTTAGGCTAAAAAGTTAGTTGGTAGGAATATTGAATTGTTAAGTTCAGTCTATATTTTGGTGGTGCATTGAGCACAAGATAAGTTTACTTTTATAACAAAATTGAGTGGTGCATTGAGTACACAATAAGTTTACTTTTATAACATAAATTGGTTGTGCATTAGCACACAATAAAATTACTTGTATAACGTTGTGAAATCGTTGTTTGAATTTGGTCTTCGGTGAACGGTTGGTTCACGACAACTTTAATTTTTTAATTAACCTCGCTCACTGAGACTTAACTGGCGCCCGAGTATTCAGTGGAAAAAACTTTAAGGAAAAAACTTTGCACTTAATTGTGTTCATAAGAAAAACGACAAAAATCATACTAAATCACTAAATAAAGGATAAAGAGAGAAGAAGATAAACAGAAGCTGTATGCGAAAATGAAAAGATCGTTTATGATATGTTATACGCACCAAAAGCGAATGAGGGACTTTATTTTATTGGAAGTGCCCTTTATAGCAGCCGTTGAATATTTTCCAAACGATATAGTGGCGTGATTTCCTAACGCTATGTATTTTGCAAAACAATTGTGTGTATGTAAGATGTACAAAAGAGAGTGTGAAAATTAAACGTCAAATGCTTATGCTTAAGGGGATGGCTCATGGTACGACTTGTTAGTCCGACTTAATCTTGTACACCCTCCAAGGCTGAGTCCTGTGGACTTAGTATGCCTTCATCAGCCTCAAGAATACGGCATATTCGTTAGATTGGGCGCTGGCAGTGATGCTTTACGGTGCAGTCCTCGGTCAAAAGTGCTATATTCGATGGTATTCGCCAGCGGGATGGGGGAAGATGCTCCTGCTGGATAGCCACGATGTCACCAACTCGAACATTGGGTTTCGGTCTTGCCCAATTATTTCGAGCCTGCAGTTGCACCAAATACTCTTCCTTCCAGCGGTGCCAAAAATGTTGCAGCATGCATTGAAGTCGCTGATAGTATTTAAGACGATTATCTGGAGCCTATATAACGGCGGGTTCTGGACGGGAGTTCAAAGGTCGGCCGATGAGAAAACTGCCAGGCGTCAGTGCGAGACCACCATCAGGATCATCGTGGAGCGCAATTATGGGTCTTGAGTTGAGGCAGGCCTCAATGCGCACCAGCAGGGTACTAAGTTGATTAAACGTAAGTACGCTGTCTCCCACTACCCGTTTCAAGTGCTTCTTCGCCGAACGCACTGCCGCCTCCCATAAGCATCCTTGATGGGGCGCGGCTGGAGTGATAAAGTGCCAGCGAACCCCAGCATCAGACAGTTCTTGTTGTGCGTAGATACTTATCCATTCCGAAAGTTCGGATTGGAGTTGGCGGTTTGCACCTACAAATTGTGTGCCGTTGTCACTGTAAAGGTTNGTCTTCTGCCAACTCTATGTGCACTGCCCGTGTGCACATCCAGACGAAAATCGCGGCATACGTCTTGGTGGTAGCGAAGGAACGTTTGCCACCATGGCGGACCAGGAACGGCCCGGCGTAATCTAGCCCGGTATTAGAGAACGGGGGTGCCACTAAAACTCGATAACGGGGAAGATCAGCCATTTGTTGTTATTGCATGACTTGTTGCTGCAGCTTGCAGGTTCTACATCGATGTATGCAGCTCTTGACCAGGACTCGTGCGTGCACGATCCACAATTCTCGTCGTAAATATTGTAACATCTCTCTTATACCACCGTGCATGGTCATGCTGTGAGCATTTGTGTCTAATAGAGGATTGAGCGGAAGCAACTTACTCGAGGTCGGGACACTGTAAGAAGCTCGTAAAATATTTATCTCTGAAGCGTAAAAATTACGTTGTGCTTCGCGACCGTGGAGTATGAATGCTTGCTGGATTTCATTAGCCGTGATGACTGGCGTGTGCCAGTGCGATTTGCCAGCAGGTCGAAAGCGCAGAACATAGGCGGTGGTATGTAACACTCGTTGAATAGTGCTGAAACGTTCGACTAGTGGGATGAATGTTGAGTTGGAACCCAAGCCAATCCGTACTTGTAACCTTGGAGTCGTCAGGGTGCAGAGATGAGCCCGAACCACACGCAGTTCGGCATCATGCTCTTGCTGTTGCTTATCATCGAGTTGTCGCAGTTGTCCGCAGTAAAAATTTTGGTCGTAGATGACTTCTGGCCCCTTCCACCAAAGGGATAAACTACTTAGGGCTTGTGGCGTTATGCCGCGACTGGCGCAATCGGCGGGATTATCCTTAGTTCGTATATGATGGCAATGTGAAATACTGGAATGCTGCTGGATGTAAGCAACCCGATTCGACACATACTGCATCAGATTGCTTGGTGACTTACGAATCCAAGAGAGAACTATGCTAGAGTCGCTCCAATACATGCATTGGTCTTGGCTGAGCTGAAGAACTTCTCGAGCATTCACCATCGTAGTAACCAGCAGGTGTGCAGCGCATAACTCCAACCTGGGAATGGTTATAGCTTTCAGTGGACTAACCTTCGTTCGCGCAGTCACCAGCTCGGACTGTCCCATCAGTGTCAATACTTCGAGCATAAATGACGGCTGCATATGCCCTTTCGCTGGAGTCGCAAAACCCATATAGCGTTCTAATGGCAGACTTCGCCATTCCGATCCAACGAGGTATGCGGAGCTCCGCGACGGCTGGTATAGCGCTTCGAAATTTAAGCCATTTCTCGCGGAGTTGGGGTGGTAGAGGTGTGTCCCAATCGATCTTAGCCGCCCATGTCAACTGCATCAATATCTTAGCCTTCACTGATACCGGCGCCAAGAGTCCCAGGGGGTCAAAGATTTTAGCCACTTCGCTCAACACCTGTCGTTTAGTAGCAACTGGGATGATTGCGTCTAATCGTACTTGGAAAAAAAGCTCGCCAGTAATCGGAGCCCAGTGCAGGCCCAACACTTTCGCATCAGTTGCCCCTAAATTTAGCTCTGAACTTGACGACCCTAAGCCACATGTGAAAAGAACATCTGCCGCGTTCGAGTTCCACTTGCAAAGTCTAAACCGACCATGTTGCAATATTGTTGTGATGTCTCTAGCTAAGGTGGCAGCTTCCGATGGGGTATCCATGCTATCAAGAAGGTCATCCATATAGAAATAACTCAGAATACTATCTCGGGCCTGTGCCGCTCGAGCCTCATCAGGAACCGCTGATTGGTTTTCATTGGCACACTGCTGCAAGACGCGTGCCGCATTGAAAGGACTGCAAGCCATACCGTAAGTTAACGTCGTTAACTGATACACACCGAGAGGATCACTTGGGCTTTCCCGCCAGAAAATTTGCTGCCAACATCTATGTCTGGAATCAACTTCGATCTGCCGAAACATCTTCTCGATGTCAACAGTGATAGCTATACGGAAACGACGGTACCGGAGAAGAATGGGGGCAAGTGGATCCTGGATGGGTGGACCAACTAGCTGAGGAACGTTTAAGGAAACGCATGAACTGAATATATTTGTTACGTAGCTCATCATCATTACTCAAGCGGCGCTCAAGATGGAGGAATTGGTTAAATGCCTTGACATATGAATTGCCAAGAGCTGATGCATTCGGTGAAAATGAGATTTGTACTACGTATCGGCCATCGCTCTTGCGCGATACCGTTTTACAAAAAATCTCTTCGCTAAGGTCGTCAACAGCTGGGGGTCGGCAAACCTCCTCCAGCTCCCAGAAACGTTGCAGTATCTGATCTATTCGCTCCTCTTCCGCGGCGAATTTCGGTAACGCGCGTAAAGTTGGAAGCGACTTACAGCGTGGGAACGCAGGTCCGCAAATGTCCCACCCCAGACGGGTGGACAGGGTGCACGGCTCTTTAGACCCACCAGAACATGCCCCAAATGTCCGCTCCAATGAGAACATCGATGCCCCCTGGAGTGTGAAACGTGGGATCGGCTAGTGGTATGTCTTGCAAATGTTGACAGTGGTTAATGTCTATTGGCGACGCAGGAATCTCCGAAGTTATTTGTGGTAGGATATGAGCTTCAAAGGTGCACTCAAACGTGGCATCGCGGTATTAGCGCATCACCAGAGTCGCCTGGCCACGCGACGAAGTCACCCTCTGAGAGCCAATTCCTTCTACCGTAAGCGTGTCCTCTGTGGAGACCCAAGTGGTTGAAAAATCGTTCTGTAATGAAGCTTCCCCCACCTTGTCTAAAAGTGGAGCTCTAGCTGTGGCCAGAAGGACGATCCCCTCAGATTGCGCCAGGAGAGACTGCACCGCATCTATGCGAGGAAAAACCTGTGACGTAATGGCGCCGACAGATATTTCAAATGCGGGGGCTGGTCGAGTTGCCGCGCTGGTGGTTGCAGGTAACTTCTCGTTGCATGAAGAAGCCTTACAAAGCAAGGTGTTGTGTTTCAGTTTGCAGTTGTGGCAGGTTCCTGAGCTGCACCCTCGAGCCGAGTGGCTAGTTCCGAGACAATTATAGCATAAAGATGCTTGCCACACCAGGTTCAAACGTTGATCTACAGTCAGTGCTCGAAATTGTGGACATCTTGACAGGCGATGTGGTTCCGCGCACCGTGGACAGGCCAGCGACGATTTCATGGTTGCGTTCGGAGACTTCGGGGTAACTACATGTGATTGTGCCATACGACGCGCTGTTGACGGTCGTAGTGACACATTAGGGTTGCATCTCAGAGTATCCGCGTAAGTTTCGATCTCCTCTAGCATTCTCTGCAGATTAGGTAATGTTTCGGCGTGGTTTAAAACCGTCCAGTGTGAGACAGCCGGAGTTGGTAGTTTGCGGAGGACTATGAGATAAACGATGGCATCCCATTGGTCTGTTGGCAGACCCATCACGTTCAGGGCACGTAAAGTACTGCGCACCACATCGATAACGTTGCGCTGCGTTAGAACTGGATGTTTCGGAAAGTCTAATAGCCTATACACGTGCGACTCAACCAAGCGCTGAGGATTATCATATCGCCTTTTCAACTCGGCCCATAGCTGGCTGTAGCCCCCGTGTCTACTCCACCAATCATGGGTACTGCCTGAGCGTCAACACATTGCCTCAATCGACTGAGTTTATAGCTGTCGTCAAGATCGGTGCGATTGTACACCAATGATTCGAAAATGTCTTTAAACATCAACCAGTTTTCCGGTTGACCATCAAATGCTGGGATCTTGACCGGATCCAAACGGTGCTCTGATTGGCACCGCACGGACACAGCATTCGACGGAGTGGTTACAGCAGTTCGCATGCGTTGCAGTTTGGTAACGATACTACCGTGGACCCTCTCCACTTGAGCAAGTAACTTGTCGTGTGCCTCCAATTCATCTGGAGTCGCTTCGCCCACTAACGCCAGGTGATTTTCCAAAAAACGGTTGTAGTGTCCAGATAGCGTGCTAATGGTGTAATCAATCTGCACCGTATCGGGAGCATATCCCTCACCCTCGACCTCCGCCTTAATTCGTAAAATGGAGCTCCTTGCCGCAGTTCTCAAATTAATCGCTGCCATTATTCCGACGAATACCCTTTAATGGCTTGCAACGTTAGCACTTGGTCGCAATTGTCAGGTTCCTCACAGGAGGCACCAAAAACTGTATGCAAAAATGAAAAGATCGTTTATGATATATTATACGCACCAAAAGCGAATGAGGAACTTTATTTTATTGGAAGTGCCCTTTATAGCAGCCGCTGAATGTTTTCCAAACGGTATACTGGCGTGATTTCCTAACTCTATGTATTTTGCAAAACAATTGTATATATGTAAGATGTACAAAAGAGACTGTGAAAATTAAACGTCAATGCTTATGCTTAAGGGGATGGCTTCTTAGTCCGACTTAATCTTGTACAGAAGCTATGCTTATAGGATTAATTTATTTTGTTTTTGGTTGGGATATGGCAGATAGTAATATGAGGCATTAGTTTTCTTGTGGTCGGTATGGGTGTCGCCCTCGGGGCAACTTGGCTAGGGATGGGTTCGTAACTGTGACTATTGTAACGCAATAATGACGCTGGCGAGACTATTTGACTGACGGACCAATCCAGGCTAGGGGACTCAACTCTCGCGTACATAGCCACAGTGGGGTCCAAGGCTATTTGTGCTACAAAAACAGATGGGGTGGGATGGCTCCCCCTGACCGGACTGTTTTCTACCGCTTTGTATTCTATCCTCTTTTCATGTCCACGGTTTGAATAACCCAATAATATCTTTGAATACTCCTTTTTTCATTACATCTTTCACTTTCAAGAGCTTTCCTGCCCTTTAAACTTTATTTATCACCAGTGATCGGACTTATACAACATTGTGGTAGATCTGCCACTTTTTTGAGCATCTACCGCATCTTCCACTCAAGGTCTGAAATCTACCACATCTTCGTGTTTTTGGGTAGTTTTATTTTTACTTAATTTTTACTTATTTTTCTTAATTTTAAGAGCGAAAATTGTCCAACACTAAACTCTATATGATAACAAGAATGATATAATACAAGATTCCGCATTCCCGACGACGATGAAATTTCTCAAGTAAAAGTAAACAAAGCCGAATGGGAGGGTAAAATAAACTGTAAAATAGTAAATTTTTTCAGTAATAAATTTTTTTTGTGTTAAATTAGAAAATATATTTTTTATAAAAAGAATAAAAAGCGAAAATATTAAAAAAAACTGCAGTTTTTGTGAAAGTATTAGCAAATTTAATTGCATCTAAGGTTTCTGAGGCGTTGTTTACGTTTACTTGAGAATTGCCATTGAAGCTGGCAGCACTCCGCAAGGTTGCAGAAATCTCTTAAAATATGTTCTAAAAATATCTTAATATGGAAGGAACTGATTTACACTGTCAGGGCAAAAAATTGCCAAAACTCAACGCAATTTTTAGCAACTTCCATCTTTAATTATTTTATACTAAAATAACCTTTTTTTAGAGTCTAATTAAAAAGTTTACCACTAAGGTGAAACCTTGCAGAGTTTTTTTAATTTTTGTACAAAGTTTAATGAGTTTAAAGTAACCGGCAACGCTTCCAGGGATGGATGTTCAGGCCCTTTCTCTACTGTGGCGTGCTGGAAAGAAGATGGGGAAAGTTAGCGACACAGACATTGACCGGAACAATTGTACTTACGCTTCGTCATGGATACTCACGAAATCCGCCAACCGTTTTCACAACAGCCTCTCGTACCATATACACCCATAAGTATATACACAGGAAACGAAAGTTTCGATAAATCCTAATAGTTTCCAATACTTAAGTTTATTCGAAGAATATTTTTTTTGCAATTACTGAGCTTTTTGATTGAATTGTAAGCACAAGGTGCATTTCAAATTGGAGTATCCTAACTATAAGTTTGGTGTGTTATTGAGCTTTTGTTGAAACTGAAGAGACCTTTTTTTGTTATATATACTTACATACTTACTTATATATTTCATATTTAACGATACTATCTTTATTTCCATAAATTACATTTATTCCTTTTAATAATTTACTGATAGCTCATACATACCTTCGATCATAAGATACATGTAAGTTTGAAGTTGAACCAATCCAATTGAATTGATCGAAGGGGTGAAATAATAAGCAAATCTTTTAAATTTATATATCCCATTTTTATACAAATTCCCGGTACTGTTGAGAAATTGGAAGCCACATGTTTATATATATATTCTTTTATTTGTACATCTCAACCGTTTGTAAAACAAAAATCCTTTAGAGGTGGTAGGTTGTTGAGTTAATTTTTGAGTTGTCTATGGTGAATGGAGAATCCCAAGGACACTAAAGAGGTATCACGAGCGAGATTAGGCATTTTTCCAAGCAATAGACCTGTGACCCGTAGTTTAACAAGGGATTTGGGAAATCAGGTGGTGGGTTCCCTCCTAACGCAGATAGATACAAGCATAGAATATCCAGTAGATTTTGTGCATGTTGGCTATTTGAATCGGTGCACTGCTAGGATCTTTGGACAACATCAAGCACGAGGAGTCGTTTCCCAAACTACTAACGTAGTAAATAGAGCAGAAAGTTCCCTAAGCTTCTCCAGGAAATTGGATCGCGTCCTGGTGATGTCTGAGCCTTCAGAACAACGTGAGATTTTAGAGGGGGCGGTAGGAGGAGAAATGCAGGAGTCCACAGAAGGCGCGGGTACAGAACTTGTACAACCTTGTGACAGAATGGATAAGACGAGTCAAATGATGGCGGTGTTGATGCAACAAAATGCGGTCATGGCGGAGTGCATGAACGAAGTGCGGAAAATGCGGACGGACGTATCGCAGTTAAGCA